CAGTAGAAACTAAGAATTATCGAAATGTTTGGCAGTAAGCGTTAAAAATGTTTGGCAGTAAACACTGGTTACAGCCGAAAACCTCGAAGACGACAACTTCGCGGATAAAACAACTCAAGGCGAAAACTTCGTTTCACAAAACATCGTGGGAGGAAATAAAGCAAAGAGAAAACATCGCAGTGCTAAAACATCGTGGTACAAAATATCGCCGTCGAAAATAAAGGAGTTCAGAAACTTTGCAGTTTAAAAGCATAGTCTTCTAAAATATCGTGGTAAAAATAAATTACAAAAATCATCGCATGGCGATAACATCTCAAACATGCGTTCAGGCTTTAATATTTGTAAATGGATATTCTCATAATGCTTTGTAAGCGCAAGATGGAAAGAAGGATAAATTTACTTTCATATTTTTTATTAACTAATGAAAAACAAAACAAGAAATATAAACAAAAGAGAATTAGTTTTCACTATAAGAGTATCAGATTAACAAAAGTGAGGAAAATAATCTCATAATTAAATTAGTAATTGATTTATTGATAAGAGCTCGCAGTTACTTATTTTTCTTTTCCTAATTTTCTTAAGATTATACTTTTCATGAAAAATTACCAGTAGAACTTTATAAAAAATAATTTATTAATGACCTTTGTTAGTTAACTATGTCAGTTTAAAACTCTATTAAGTGCTATATGTTGCATTAATTTTCTATGCTTAAGTTTCCATCTTACATTTTCAGCAAATACTTATTAGTTAATAAAAAAATGTGATAGTAAAAGTTATCCTTCTTTCCATCTTGCGCTCACAGATCATTATGCGAGTATCCGTTCACAATTATTAAAGCCCGAAAAAAGCATGTGTGCGATGTTATCGTCATACGATGATTTGTAGATACTTTATTTTTACCAAGATGTTTTAGAACTGCGATGTTTTCTCTTTCCTGTATTTTCTTCCACGATATTTTGCGCCACGACGTTTTCGCCTTGCGTTGTTTTCTCCGCGATGTTTTCGGCGGATTACCAAAATACTTAGTCTCGAACGACCCAAAAGTTTCTGCGGAGCTGAATAAGTTTTGTTGGTGGAATCAAGTTGTAACTTAGCTTAGAAGAACGTCGCTGCTGCTGACAGTCGAAGAGTAGTCGGAAAATTTAATTTGTTGCTATTTTTAGTATCATCTTAAGTCACGTCTAATAACGTTTTGTGTTAGTTTTAACTTTTTATCTTTTGTATTCGTATATAAGCAGCAACGGAGGTGGTAACTCGCAATCTATTAGACATAACTTTTTAAAGTCAGCCGTTACATTTAAGAAAAAGCAGTCTCCAGCTATTTAACACATTAAGAGTTACGAACTCTGAAACTATTCTTATTCATTTTTCTTCAGATCTACTTTTGAAAAGTATTTTAAGATAGATCAGTTGCATTTTTAGTTACAATTTAAATGTCCAAAATGTTTAGAAGAGTTGCTAGGTAACTAATTTGAACAAATATATGTTAGATACAATTAAGAAAGCATAGTAAACATTGTTAATTGTCTTCGTGAAGCAGATGTTAGTTATATTTGATAAAATATAAAGAAATATTATAAAAGCTTTAAAATTTGTTTTAAGTACGAAATAATTTTTCATGAACTAATTAATTGGAATAAAAAATAATGTTGTAATTACCTAAATAAAACAAGACTGATTTGAAAAACCCTTTACTTTATTTTATAATTAGTGATGTAAGATAAAAAATATCTGAAATCTTTCAGATTTTACATTACGTCCAGAGGGTTTTTTTTTTTTTTTTTTTTTTTTTAACTTTTGTGCGTTACCTTTATTTATTAAACGTTCTTTGCACTTAAACCATAAAATTCAATTCAACAACAATATTCAACAGAATTTCCGATACACAGTCTCGCGCGTTGGAAATCCCCCCCCCCCCCGTACAGTTTTGCTATTGCTCGCTTTGAAATCGTTGAGTTTGTTAATCAAAAATTCGTTGAAGTGTTACAAAATATGAAATCGATAATAAAAAAAATTCAAATTCCAAATTAGGGCTTCCAGATGCCCATATTAGGTGAAACATTACGTTATTCAAAATTTGATGGCTTTAGGTACTGTTATTTTATCACAATGCGAGAAACATACATGCATTTATGCAGATTCTTCATTATTTAATTTCTTTAAATATAACACAGGGCGATAATAATATTTGGTCGCAGCAATTTGAAAAGTGAACCGACATTTTAGTTTTCAGCGCAAAATACGAAAACGAAATTAATAGTCCAAGGACTAACGCCCTTTGAGCTAAAAACGTATTTATTGGTTAATATAAATATGGTGTTATTAGAATTTGTAATTTATAGGCCCTTTTTTTCCTTTTTTGTTTAAATAGGAATTTTTGTGCTAAAAAAGTTTCAAATGTTGTAACTGAGAAGGAAGTTAATGCATTTTGAATTCAATCAATAACAGCTCCTAATTTACTTTGCATGAAAGAATAAACGAGGAAACCAGCTAAAAACACGTGTTACGTCAGATTCAAGGAAATATAATTATTTCATTTATAAAAAAAGTCCACAGTTCATCAGTTAAAAAGAGTACTTTCATGTTGAAAAAGCGGAGAAATTGCAAAGGTTTCGAAGCCAATCGTTGAAATCTCTATTTACATAATTACTGAGTTTATTTTTAACCTTCCTATAAAGTATAAATACTTTTTAAGACTCGGATATTATTTGTATTAGTGAAGGCAGATTTACGAATTCAGTTTACTGCAACTGCGAGTAGGTTAAGTTAATCAACTTTCAGAAGAAGGAAAAATATAACGCTTTAAAATAAATTAATTCTTCTTGATATACAGGAAATGAAATAAGCTTGGTAAAAATCATACTTTCTTCGATAATTATAAAATAAATAACACAATAAATTAAGGATAAAACGAAGATTTTTCTTACATATTTGTACTGTCAACAGTCTTTTACTTTCAAATAAAATATTTTATAAATATTTGTCAACAGTCTTTCACTTTCAAATCAAATATTTTATAAATATTTGTCAACAGTCTTTTACTTTCAAATTAAATATTTTATAAATATTTGTCAACAGTCTTTCACTCTCAAATTAAATATTTTAAACAGATGCTAGCTTATAGTTTTGAAAAGTGCAGGATTTAAGTTTAAGCTACACAAGCTATAGTTTAGGGCCCCCACTTCTCCCTTCCAAAATTAAAATATAATATAAATATAGTATAACAAACTTATTAAGGGTATCTAAAATAGCTTAGGGCCTTATCGAGTCTAAATCCGGCTCTAGATCAACAGCGGAAGCAAATCAAAAGCGCAAGCATTTTAAGGGCATTTTGGTTTGAATTTTCATTTGAATAATTTAGCCTAATTTAGAGACGACCTAAGTCATTAGGAGTTACAGATTATTAAAATTAGAAGGACGAGGTATCCTTTCTTGATTTCTTGAATTCGAATTCTAAAAGGCTGTCGAATTTTTCCAATCTTGAATGTCTCAGATGATTCATATAAAAATAATAACAAGAAAAAAATAATATTCTTGTTTAATTATTTAATATTAAAACTTTTAATTGAAGCAAAGTTTGAAATCTGAGTTCAATGAAAAACTATTTTAAGGATACAATATACTGTTCTTTATTAAAATGTTACAAATGAAATTTTGTAAATAAAATGTATAGTAAAACTTCAGAATCTTGAGGTTCATTTTCTTAATATAAATAGGCAAAAAGATTTGAGAAATAGTTAAAACATTTTTACATAGTTTCTAGAATATTTTTCGTGTGGAAGGGGTTAATTATTTTAAGATTTTGGAAAATACACTATATAAGGAATGCTAAATTCTCTATAGAAAATTAAGAGCGTGAAACTCGCACTCTAAAGATTGCTGTAAGGTGAGACTGGTGATTTGAGATTCGAATGACGAAAAAAAGCGCGAAGATTCGAGTCTTCAGATCTCTGATATTTCGTGAGATTTGTGAGATTCAATTATTCAGATATCCCATCTCTACTTAAATTATTATTCTGATAAAGAATTAAAGTATTTTTACTGTCATGAGCAGAAATTTATTTTGCTATTCTACTTAAATTTAATTTATCTGCATTTGAATATGTATTAAGTTGAAACTCTTTCAGAAAAGCATACATTCCAAATAAATATGGAGTTATAAATTAACTTTCTTATTTCGAAATTTTACATTTAATCTGTTTAGACCTGATACAAATGTATTAGTATAGCATATTCAAATAGGTGAGGATTAAATATACATATTTTAGTGTTATACTAATACCAGTTCAACAGATAGAAAGTTGTTACTTAGAGGATAAAAATCATTGGAACACTAAAAATTTTAAATTGCAAAGTTGTTAAAAATCTGAATTTTGTGAAGTATTGTCAATTATTATAAATGCTTCAATTATTTATTTTATTTTTTTTTTCATGGGGAAAAAATAGAAAAGGATGAAAGTATTTTCTTTTTACATTTCAAGATGAATTTTGTAGAGAAGTACTATTTTTACCCCTTCTTGTCTCTATTTTTAAAGCAAACATGGATCTTATTCACTTATAACGGTTCTTTCAGGTCTCTAAATGAATCAAAAGTCGTTTTTGTTGTTCGGGGGAAATAGAATTATGCTAAACGTCTCCGAGAAGAATAATTTGAAATATTTAACAAAACTAATCATTTAAAAGATTAAGTAATGACTGATTAAAGCACTTATTAAATCGGAGTAAAGTTTTCAGGATTTTTGAATAAAAAATACATATTTAAACTTTAAATAAAAAGGAAACAATATTTATATAATTCTTTCGAACTATAAAAAAATTATAGTTCGAATGAATTATATAAATATTGTTTGATTTGTTTGTAAATTTAAATTGAAAAACTTCGTCAAATTAAACGTTAAATAATTTATACAAAACCTTCAATTTAGTAAACTAAAAATTAAATATGTTTGACTTTTTTAATTAAAATATAAGAATAAAATCTAATTTTTAAAATTTCTTACCAATTTCCTTCAGAAATTCACCAAAATTCTCACTGGAGACGAGTTTGTAAGATCCTACAAGGTGGGCCATTTTGGAATTTTCCTTTCGTCTGTCTTTGACAAGCTAGTAAAATAAGTAACAGGACTCTGGCAACGAGACAGCGGGAGGAGGAAACGAAAAGCGCGCTCTTTTATAATATCGAGAGGATAATCTTTATCGTCATGAAAGCAGTCTTCGAAGACTCGAGTGCAAATTCCTAGCCAATCAGCGGTCACCTTGTCCCGAGAAGATAAAAAGTTTTTACGCGGATTGTCACGAGTGTTCTAAAATTTTGGAAAAAAGACTGTTACATGATTCACAGTCATATTATTGTAATTTATCGATAACTGATAATGAAGGCGTCTACATGATGAGTGAAGATAATTTTCAATTTATTCATGAACTCCTTTATGCCTTTCCTCTAATAGAAAATAAATGTGAATTTTTATAGAATCATTAGACATCGTAACATTTCAGGAAGGGTGAAAGAAGGCTCATTGATATCACATAAAGAATTCAGTAATGCCGCCGTTTTTGAAAATAGAGTGTATTCAAAACAATGTCTTCCAGACTGCAAGCCACATAAATATCTGTTTAAGCTTGTTTGCGTGTACAACATGTTTATACTAAAATTATTTGCGTTCACTTGTAAACCATTTCAAAAACAGATGATCGTTAATGCAAACAAATGTTCACGTTCCCCCCTGACACGCTCAAGCTGAAAATTCAGTTTAAAATACAATGTCGGAATAAAATCGGGCAAAATTTTAAACTCTTTACGCGAAAGGATATTTAGCATAGGAGTTTGGGTAAACCTACCTGATGAAATGTACAACGCACAACTCGTTAGTCGGTTTCCTCTCCATTAATTTCTCAACGTTTGCAAGTTTCTAGGTAATTCATATGTAAATATAGTTAAATGCACCTGTCGCAACAATTTATAAGCAACAATTCTATAAATTAAAAATGTTCTTAAATATCATGATAATTTAATTAAAACAATGATAACTGCATGTATGGTATCAGTGTATATGGACTATTTGAATGCCGTGGCAACTTCATCCCATTGGCTAGTACAGTTACGCAAGCAAACAATAAACTATCGGCGACAAACAGACACTTAAGCCGCATAAAATAAAGATGTGGTTAGAAAATTGAAAATTTTAACTTGTTAAAGATAGTAAAAATAACCGAGAAGGTCAATAAGCTACAACATGACCTCATGTGATAAAGAACATCATCTGAACGTCTCAAAATTTTGTTGAAGGACTACTCTACTCTGAAGCAACTTAAAAATAAATCAATTAGAATCAAATCTGCACTCTCAGAAAATCTGGTTTTAGTATAACATCTCAAAAAATAGCTTATACATTAAAAATATATAAAAACACAAATTTAAAAAAAGGACCACTTAATCCTCACTTAGTATGATCGTATTCATATTTCACATTAGCTCCTCAAATAATTTTAAGCTATAGAGTTACGTCAAACGAATCGGTTTACAAATTATTCCCCAGAAAAAATAGAGTGCAGAGTATAAAATCATATATTTAAAACAAACAATTAAAATTAGCAATGCTTAAGAATAGGGGATTATTTGCTATGATATTATTCCATCATAATGCTATTTGGGGGCATTTACAATTATTTAATAAACACAAAGTTTTATAAAATAAGCTTTTATTTAAAACTGATAAAATAATTAATGAACTAAGAGAAGAAAAATTATTTATCATATAGTTTAATAGGAAAAAAAAAAGATGGAGAGAAGATTCTCTTTCTCATAATAATTGTGACGCAGAAAAACTTTTACCTGCATTTTTATTTCTTAAAATTTATTTCAAAATGTAAGGTGAGTCTTATATTCGAGGGGATCTTACTTCGAGTAAATACGTAATATTGAATGAAATATGTTATCTTCTTTCTTCTTATTATTCTCACATGAGGAAAACGATAGATTCCAGAAAGTATTCTCATTCCTTCATTCTTTGTTACACCTCAGAAATCTCAAGATCCTAAAACTCAAGTAATGCGTTTACGGCGCTACATTAATACAGGTTCTCTTCAATTTGTTTTCCCTAAACACGTGTTGTTTAAAGAAAATTATGCACTTTTATGTCTTTTACTGAGAAATTCCCTCCTTTTATTATTGATATCTCGTCCTAAATGTTTGTTAAATAATGATTACGTAGACTGACTGGAAATAGTAGTTGTCAAAACGAGACGCCAAAACGCACCGCTGACGTAGAAGTGGGAAGATGTGTTTAAAAAACAACAGATGAAATCCGCTTAAATCCTGATTTCATAATAGAAATCCGTACCATGAAATACATAAGAATAACTATTTTTTGTTTGCAACAAATTACTGTTGATCAGTGTTGAATGTTGTTGAATATTTGACTAAAATACTAACAGCCTGATGGCGTTAATAAATTTGCTACTTACCAATGCGATAAGATGCTAGTAACATTAGAACTGGGTTTTCAATTATAAATTAGACACTAAATTAATCTTTAATATAGTAATGATAGTTAATATAGTAATGTACTGTTTACTGTACATTACAGTTAAGAAACAGTAGAAAATCGTCTGAAAAACAAATTGCGTCAAATCGAAATTTTAATGTAAAAATGCATAGTTCTAGTACTATACTACTATTGTACTAGTGTTATTATGCAGATTTAATTTTATCATCTTGCTTTTAGTTTTTTAATAATATTAGCAATATTAAAAAATAACATATTTCATTTTTAAAAAACTAATGTTTCGCACAAAATTTAAAATGATTATACATTTAATACAATCTTTCATCTCGGATAAATAAAACATTTTCAGAAAGATTTTTTACGTAGATGTAAATTTTAGTTTTGAATAGGAGAAAAAAATTCCTTCAAGCATCGTTTGACGTGCTGCTTAATTTTAAGCTTTAAATGAGGCATTAAGAAGGAAAAATTATCCAGTTTAACATACAGCCCAGTTAAAATGAATTTACCACTTGCTACAGGAATGAAGTGTTAAAGCACTTTCAGGAAGTTCTTTAGAAGTGTTCACTGTCAGCAAACTTTACTGGTCAGAAGACTGACTACGTTGTCTATTGTAGTATTAACAGCCCAGACGCTAACTGTTTTAACGATGGGCCTAGGTTCGAATCCCGGAAAAGGAATGGATATTTGTAAACGTATAGTGTCTGTGCGAGGTGTGTAAGTGTAAGCGTACAGTGTCTCAATGGAGCACTGAAAACACACCGCAAGCCGAAAGTTCTCTCGAGAAGATGTTGGTAGGAGAAGAGGGATGAGAGATCCTCGGACCACTGCCGATAAAGAGAGTATAAGAAGTTTAAAGAATAAGAGTATTTCTCTCAAAATTGAAGCGGAAGCTTAAAAGTTAGCAAGACTAATATATACCTACTAGAATTCGCAGGTGTCGGCCTTTCTTTAGCCTGTAACTGTCTATTATACTTATTCAAGTTACCGTTTTCCATTCACTAACCGGATTTAGATCTCTGCCCAATCTGAGATATCCCACATCTTTTTATCGCTAGTTCGTAACACCAGTATACAACGTTCAAATATTACCGAAAGAAAGAAATGAATTTTAGAGAAATTATTAGAATTACAAAATGAAATTCGGAGGTGTAAAGCAGGGGAAAATAAACGCGTAAGCAAAATTGTGCTTCATATAAATGAAATATTTGACTAACAACCTGAATAAGAATAAATCGAGAGAGAGATTAAACAACATATGAATGTAAAAAATGTATAAACGGAGAAACACATAAAGAAGTGCTTCACTGCATGACATCATAAGAGATTTAAGAAAACACACAAGAAAAATTTTGTTCCTAAGGTTACACTATGTTAGCTTAAAGTTAAACGCTTGTACACAAACATTAAAAAGAGCTGTTACCAATTCATAGTGTTTCACCGCATTCTTCAAAGCAAAGCAATTTAAAAACGAAATTAAAGGAAATAAATTCTGAACGAAAACACTTTTAAGCTTTCCGCTTTTCTCTTCGTATTTCTAACATTCGAAATGATGACATCACTTGAATCGGAACAATATATCGTCAGTGGTGTATACAATTTGGAAAACCTGTTCTAAATCAAAGCTTTTGTGTCATTGAGAGTAATTCCACTTCTCAGCCTTCAACTTTTAAATAATACTAAAAGTAAGCATACAAAAATTATCCAGGAAAACATTGATGATAAAAGAAAAAACACGGAAATACTTAATACATTTACATAGGGAAAAGTAGAGAATGGTTGGGCAGGTTTTATACATTAAACGAATCAAACATGAGTATACCCAATAGAAAAAAAATGAAAGGAGATAACCAGGCAAATTGTGACAGCTTAACTCGTTAGCGAATAATGCAATGATAAATTAGTAGCAAATAATGTAGCAATACATCAGTAAAATTAATATATTGCTTAAATGTTATATTTTCATCGATAGTATTGAAGCTGGTTTCATAAAATGACTGATCTATTTAGAGAAATTTTACAGCTTGAAGTATAAAAGTCTAAGACTAATAAATGAGGAAAGGTACCAAACCAGCTTTATTTTTTTAAGTCTTTACCTTAAATTATTGATCTTAACATACTTATTTCCGATACGGACTTTTCCTAAGTACGGAAAAAATTTAAGAGAAGAATTTCGAACGTTGCTATCAAGAATAATATATCAAGAATATAAGGAATCATAAATATAAATCACAAGCCGCTTAACAAAAGAAAGAAATGTTATATAACGATTTTAATGGCTTCACCTAATGTAATTTCGCGAGTCCGGGCTTGTAATTAATAATAACTGAAATGAATCTGCGTTCAGTACTTTAAAATAGCCTAGGTTGTTAATTAATAACCGAATAAATTTGAAAGAAATATTAAATATCATTCGCCAAATGGTAACGAGCTAGCACACTGGAAATAAAAATATTTTATATTTAACACTGACAATATCTTTCCTCGGTGAGTTCTTTTGAGTTTTCTTTAAAATTTGAAAGATAAATACCATACGGTGTGCCGAGTGGCAACACAAAGATTTTATATCGCTAAGTTTTTAATCAAAAGTTTCTTAAATTCGCATAAGATAGAAATAAATAAAAAATAAATTTTAAATTCAGGCTTCAAGGTGCATG